GCCAAAACCTTCCTTTTCCAGTGATTGTTATTTTGTTATAATGAGCGAGTACAAACATTTTGTAAATACTTCACCCAGATCATATCTGTAGACGTTATTATACCGTATACATTTTTCCATATTAACATATTCATCAGTTTTATTCATCAATATTAAGCGAAGCTTCTCCTAATTTGCTCTTGCAATTTGATTATTTCCCCCTAAGACGAGTCTAATATTGTTATCAATTAATTTATTCTGCTCATATTTTCAATCTTGTCACTTACACGTCCTGAGCAGGATCAAACTCTCATATATGATTGGAGGTCAAGCGATATTTCTTTTCAAGGTCATTATGTTATTCAAATTTGATGAAGTAAATATTAATAAACAAGCTATAAAAATCTGGAAATGAACCAAACTTCGCGTTTTTTTCTATTTTGTTACCAGTTCTTTATTTCACAGCTAGTATACTCGTTAACAAGAATTGCTTCATGTGCTTGTATGAAATTTTTATTTGGAATCTTGGAATCCATTATTTTCATCATCTGTAAAATGAACAGAAGTGATGCATACCCAATGTACATTTTATTCATTCAAATCCAGTGTCTCACATTATTCTGATCGGTAATATTTTGGCTTCTTATTTTACTCACTATTCTCTGTTCAACTCTCGAACAAATATCGACAATTAAACTTCAATGTGGAAAATGCGCTTATATTACAACACAGTTGTTCAGTATACAAAATGAATGCACATGTTAACTGGAAATAGTTCACTGAACTCGGTTTGGAAAGACAGGGTGGAGAAAGCATTTCATCAGTTCGGACTTCCATTGTCTAATTTAATGTAAATCGATATGAAATCCCTGAAAGAATCTGTAAAAAAATCAAAAAGAATAACTGAAAAATGACAATTTTATTGAGAAAAGAAACTGAAATTGAAAAGAAATAACATACAAGCAATAATACGGACTATTATCAAGAATTAATTTTATTACTGAATATAAATGAATCAAGAACGATCTTTTGTGAAATTTTCATTGGGACGATGTATTTTTCAGACACAAACTAGAAGTAAATACCTCATATCTGTATCTGTAGAGTAGGGAGTGTAAGTGTAAGCCCACATCACTTAGGCCACATGTGACCCACTGTACATCCTCCCGAGGAGTTGTCCTCTTAGGTCATCGTCCATCCTGTCCTTTCCAAGAAGGTGGACAGGTCACTGGGAGACATCTCCTTTATATCGCCAGGTGTAGGCCAAGACTCACCGAACACACACTCTCATCTTCTTCTCAACATCCTGCATAGAGGTGTGTCCACTAGCTCCATATTATGGAGGTGTTTCCTTAGTTGACAGTGGCCAGTCAGCAGACTGTCAGGTATGTCCTAAGCACTCGCTTAGGACATGCCCAACAGACTCATCTTCCTGTTCACACAACCTGCATAGAGATGTGTCCACTAGCCCCATATTATGAAGGTGTATCCTTAGTTGATAGTGGCCAGTCAGAAATCCTACTAGTAGGCGTAGATTTTTCCTGGTCATCGCCAGATATTTCTTCGGCGCCAGCTTCCCAGGGTCACCCAAGGTTATCCTGGCAAGATTGTATCCTTTGATTCCACCCCATCTCTTTAGGGATTGAGCATGGGTGTAACATTTGGCTAGTTCCGTAATTGTCGAAGTCATCAGGCCGTAGGTGCCACTGAGTCCTAAAATTCTTAGTCCAGCCGCTTCCTTGGCCAAAGAGTCGATAATGCGATTACCTTTACTCCTATCGTGCCCTTTAACCCACCTCAAGATAATGTTATTATCTACCGAGGCTTTGGCTAAATCTTGGTGACATTCTAGTATTAGCCCTGAGGTTACACGTTGTCTGTTCAACTGCCTGCTGTCAGTTCAGATTGTTATGTTTTTTTCAGAAATTCTTTTCCTGGTTATTTCTTTTGTGGCGATTGAGATACCAGCCAGTTCTGTTTGAACCACACTGGTATTTTTTCCCATTCCCCACTCAGGCTTAGTGATCTGGAGTACACTCCACATCCTGAGCCTTCTTCGGTTTTTGAGCCGTCTGTATATATGCGTATTGCACTTGCAGCATCTGGCTCTTGTGTTCTGTTTCATTTGTATTTTATAGGGTTTTCTCAACACAAATCTGGGTTCAATTGCATCACTGGTTGCCTGCAGCAGAGGTTGCGCAGTAAGCGCTTGTCGCCATAGGCCCAGCTTCATTTGACCTATTCCCACTTCGAAGTTCACACCAGCCGTGCGCAATCGAACCATGGTCATTAACGCAACCTCCTTAACGTACAGATCCAGAGGGGTCAGACCGATATTTAATTCCATTGCCGCACTTGGTGTTGTTCTAATGGCTCCTGTGATGTTTAAACAAGCCATTCGCTTTATTTTATACAATTTTTGGATGGCCGTTGCTTGTAAAACTCTCGGTCTTCATGCAATGGCTTCGTACGTTAACATAGGTCTTATTATTGCATTGTAGATCCAGGTGACCACACGGGGTGAAAGACTCCATGCGCGTCCCACTGTCTGACATTGCTCATAAGCCACATATGATCTTTTTGCTCTGCTCTGTAGGTAAGAGTTCCATGTTAGCTTCCTGTCGAATATAGTTCCGAGGTATTTCACCACTTCAGAGAAGATTAGTTTGCTTTCGAAGATTTCGGGAGGTTTTGAACCCGATAAACTCCTTTTCCTGGTGAAAAGGACCATCTCAGTCTTCTTGGGATTCATAGACAGTGACTGTTCCTCACACCATGTGTCGATTAATTTGAGCCCATCCTGCGCTCTACCGCACAGTGTGTTCACAAACAAGCCGGTCTGCATAGTTATCTGCTTATGTCATCTGCATGTGCAATTATTGTTGAGGTGATTAATTAGGGTATCTAGAACTATGTTCCATAGAAGGGGTGATAAGACCCTTTGTGGACATTTCCTCATGACCTTCTCTCAGTGTGATTTCTTCTACATTGATACTTATTGCTCTACTAGAGAGCATCTTGAGTATCCATTCTCCTACTACCAGGGGTACATTCCTGGAGTGTAGTTGCTGGGTAATTGTTGGAAAGGTTGTTTCATCAAACGCTCCCTCAATATCTATGAATATACCAGGGTGAATTCTTTGTTGTTCACTTTCATATAAAAATTGAATTCTATTCTGTTTGTATTCCAAACTTTCATTATGGAATCTTGTGAATGATATCTGATTCAATTCCATAATGAATGTTTGGAATAAATGAAAAAGCAGTGTTTTTGAAAGAGGTAGACGTCAAAAACTTTGAAAACAATTCAAAATGACATTCTGAAGGGGAGTTCCGTTTCCGATATGGTACGCGGACGCCATTGTTGGAGACGGAATTCGTTTCGTGTTGTGAATGTCCATCGTTATATAACGAGCCAGCATCAATTAAATAAAAAGTGTTGAAGGTTAAAATAAATATGTACTACTCACATTCACGCTGGTTGGAAGCCGGGGTGGACCAGATGTCCACGTGGAAGTGCTAAAGCAGAATAAATTTATATAATACCTGCTCCCATTCACGCCGGTTGAAGGCCGGGGTGGACCGGATGTCCACGTGAGAGTGGTAAAGCGGAATAAATTCATATAATATCTGCTCCCATTCACGCCGGTTGGAGACTGGAATGGACCGGATATCCACGTGTGAGTGCTAAAGAGGAATAAATTTATATAATACCTGCACCTATTCACGCCGATTGGAGGCCGGGGTGGACCGGATGTCCACGTGGGAGTAGGATCGCAACAATAACCTTTATGAAGCAGACAATAGTTTATATACAAGCACAGTAGACCCTATTAAGGACACAGAATTGTGAGCTGCAAGACAGTCTTTGTCCCTCTGCACGTCGTCTTGAGTTCAATCGGGATGGAGCCCAGCTCCCTTACCCTTTCGGCTGGCTTTTGTCGAAGAAGGACAAATATGTTCATGACTGAGGGGGTGGCGATATGAAGTCCTCAGGCATCAGTACCGCCTTTCACGGGATACCCCTACCTGGCTGGGGTGGGATGGATGAAAAAGCTGTTCGTCCGTTAACGGGGGACATGAGGGCCTCATTCGACAGATTGTCGGGCCTTCTATATCGAGAGGGGTCGTCTACAGCATAATCTATAGCTTCCCTAACAAACTGATTTTCGTGAGTTTCCGCACCTTCGAAAACTCGCCGATTCTTCGACTGAATAGACTGCCGAATGGAAGGCAGCTGCAAATCTCTGCGGATGGCTTCATTCCGCACGAACCAAGGAGCATTCACAATCATCCTCATTAGTTTATTTTGCAATACCTCCAGAATGGAGATATTATATTTCGCCGCTTGTTCCCAGACACCTGAAGCATACATGATCATGATCTTGTTTTTCAGGCTCATTTTGACTTTCTGTTGACCAGAGGGTACAGACTTGCAATCCGACCCTCGATCCTAGATTTGACTTACATAATGTGCGGGTTCCAAGTGAGCCTACGGTCTATTAGAAGGCCGAGGTACTTTACCCGCGCTTGCCAGTCAATCTCCCTTCCAGAGATTCTCACTTTTTATGTTTTTGTATAAAGATGGAGAAATAGAAAGCCAAAACCTTCCTTTTCCAGTGATTGTTATTTTGTTATAATGATCCAATAAAAACATTTTGTAAATACAAATATAAATAGCAAAAAGCCCACAGGAAATGAGACATTTACAAAAAAAGCGCAAAAAACCGATTTTTGTGACCTTTGATTTCGAAATTTAATAGTTGCGTACACCCTACCATATGTAGGTTTTAAGACAACTTTTAGGGTGACAATATACAAGTATTTACAGACTTACATCTGGGTATCTCGAATTCCGAGGTGAACTTACTATAATGACTGGACTATGAAGGGGACGTACTCGTCTGAAAGTACGATACCATAACTCAGACAATACGATAACACAATTGAATACATTATTTTATTCAAAATTACAATAAAGCTAAACAAAATTATTTCATGAGACATGACATATCTGCTATTCAGTATCTTTCCCTTCCCATTCTATCCCTGCTATGGTGAGTTCGGCTTGAAAGCTCATTTCCTTCCTTGGGAGGGGGCTTCAAACTACGAGGAGAATTATCTTCACGCTCGCAATCCGTATCGGATGAACAGAAACTTTTCAGACTTTCAGGTGAACGGGTTCTCGGTTCATTGTAGGACATGGTTTTATCCCTGCCTTGACGGGTATCCTTGGAATAATCATTTTCTTCTGTGAAAAATCTTCCTGAAGTTTGAGGAGCATTGCCTTCACAAGTGCGACGCTCTTTGGGCGAAGGAGAAGGTGAACGAAGATATCCCTTTCCCGAAAACATGCTTTCATCGCCGTAATAGTTTCCAGGGTAAGAAATATCCCTCTCCTTTTTAGGAGTAGGTCTAGAACTTCGTTGATAACCATCTGAATGTTCGCGATACTTTCCAGGTGGAGGTGATTTTGGACATCTCCCGAAAGTAGGTGACCGAGCAGGTCTTTTATCTCCTCCATATGAATTGCGGTTAGCCTCGTAACAGTTTCCGGGGTTAGAAAAATTATCTATCTCCTTCTTGGGAGAAGGCCTGGAACTTCGGAGATAACCGCCTGAATGTTCGCGATACTTTTCAGGTGAAGGCGATTGTCTTGGACATTTTCTGAAAGTAGGTGACCAAGCAGGCCTCTTCTCCTCTCTATGAGAAACATTTTCATCCTCGTAACATATTCCAGGATTAGAAAAAATATCCTTCTTCTGAGGAAAACGTCTGAAACTTTGGAGATAATCGCCCGAATACTTTTCAAGTGGAGGCGACCTTCTAAAAGTAGGTGACCAAGCAGGCCTTTTCTCTTTTCTATAAAAAATGCTTCCATCCCCGTAACAGTTTCCAGGGTTAGCAATATCCCTCTTCTTTTTGGGAGAACATTTGAATTTTCCGAGATAATCGTCTGAATGTTTGCGATACTTTTCAAGTGGAGGCGACCTCCTAAAAGTAGGTGACCATGCAGGTCTTTCATGTTTTCTATAAGAAATGCTCTCATCCCTGTAATAGTTCCCAGGGTTAGCAATATCCCTCTCCTTCTTGGGAGAACGTCTGAAACTTCGGAGATAATCGGTTGCATGTTTGCGATACTTCTCAGGTGGAGGCGATCTTCTTGGACATCTTCTGAAAGTAGGTGACCAAGATGGCCTTTCATCTTCTCTATAAGAAATGATTCCATCCCCGTAACAGTTCCCAGGTTTAACAATGTCCCTCCCCTTCTTGGGAGAACGTCTGGAACTTTGGAGATAATCATCTGAATGTTTGCGATACTTTTCAGGTGAAGGCGACCTTCTGAAATAAGGTGACCGAGTAGGTCTTTCCTCTTCTCTATAAGAAATGCTTCTATCCCTGTTTTGATGTCTCCTGCTCTCATGATGCTCCGATGGTCCATCAAATGCGACGGTTTCATATTTTACAGTCGACTTTAACTTGTAATGCACAAACATGTTTCTATCCTTCCTATGAACTGGACAATTGAACAGAACTCGTCAACTACATACAGTATAATGATGTCACTGAACTGTTATTGAGATGTATATGTTCAGATAGATCTTAGGTAATTTATAGCGGACGGCCGACATTACTCGATCGTTTGTAATACTCAGGTAACTTTTTGTTACCTGGGACGTTTGTAATACCCAGGTAACTTTTGGTAAATCAGACGTATATTCGGATTATGTCCATCACTGAGGAAAATGTATTCAACGGACCATTTGCGTTCTCAAAATTCGACTAAATTAAATTAATAACAGATATTTTGCAGAAGATGTGCGGCAAAAAAGGCAAAATACTCTGCACGTTCATGTATTGTGGAACTTTGGAATGATAATAATACTATAGAAAATTGGAAAGAAGGTTCATTGTTGAACTATTTGCTTCGATTCACGATCATAAAAAAAATTTCAAAACAACTATACTCATTTTTGGAAAAGAAAGTTTTTTGCTTTCTGCTACTCTATCTTGATACAAAAATGTGGGAATCTTCCAAAGAAAGGAAGGAAGCAATCAATTTTGAAATAAGTAACTTTATATTCCCTCCAGAAGGGCTTCTTCTTTCAGTTTGTGTCTGAAATTTACTTCTTTGCATGATCTACACATCTATAGTCCGTTCATAATTTGTCGATAGCACAAAATGAGGGTCCAAGTCATAAAACGGTCGTAAAACTCGTAAAATCATAGGCGGAGGTTCCTGAGGTGTTTATTCATTAAATATAAAGCTTCAGTTTATATTCTAANCGATGTATTTTTCAGACACAAACTAGAAGTAAATACCTCATATCTGTATCTGTAGAGTAGGGAGTGTAAGTGTAAGCCCACATCACTTAGGCCACATGTGACCCACTGTACATCCTCCCGAGGAGTTGTCCTCTTAGGTCATCGTCCATCCTGTCCTTTCCAAGAAGGTGGACAGGTCACTGGGAGACATCTCCTTTATATCGCCAGGTGTAGGCCAAGACTCACCGAACACACACTCTCATCTTCTTCTCAACATCCTGCATAGAGGTGTGTCCACTAGCTCCATATTATGGAGGTGTTTCCTTAGTTGACAGTGGCCAGTCAGCAGACTGTCAGGTATGTCCTAAGCACTCGCTTAGGACATGCCCAACAGACTCATCTTCCTGTTCGAACGGACTATAGGTATGAAGTTATATTTTTTTTGTATCAAAAGCCAAAAATTCTCTTTCCTGAACGTTTTAGTCACTCCTAAAAATATAACTCTTTCAATTTAAACTATGCTCATGTGCTGTAGTCACGGAAAACCGAACCGAAACATAATTCTCTATATCTCCTATATAATTGGCCTATGTAGCCAGTTATATTCCCATCGTATATGCTTCATTACAAATAACTTCATTAGTAATTTCCGATCTCGATCGGAAAAATAGTCGCCTTTTCATGTACATTACAGTAAAAATTTTTAATTTCAAAATGAAATTCAAAAATTGTGTTATGGGTCACCGAATAGAAACTATTTATGAGAGTAAAATACATATTTATTGATAGTTCCCTTCCCTCTTCGAGAGAATAACTTGAGTTCTAGGAAGAACTGTCTCAAGCTCTCTGGCTGTAGAAATTTCTATTAAATATTATTTGATCCGGCGTGTTTTTTCATTTTTCTGCAAGACGTGATTCTATCTTTGCTAATGTCTTCTACTCAGAGACAGTAAATATATTTCGATTTTACTGCCTTGAAACCAGAATCCATATACTTATCACTTTTATCATTTCAAGGAAAAAGTACATTGTTAACTTATAAATGTAAAATAATTAACTTGTTTCAGTAGTTGAAGAAATAACAAGATGCCTAATGACCAGACATCTACTGCAGGTCCATCATACTTCATTCCCAGAAATAACTCAGGTGCTGCAAAGTGTGGACTACCACAAAATGTATCTAAGTTGCTTCCTGGAGTGAATTCATTTGATAATCCGAAATCCGCGATTTTTATGTTCATGTCACTATCCAATAATAAGTTTTTACCTTTTAAATCTCTGTGAATGACCCCCTTCTGGTGGCAGTAGTCTACCGCAGAGACAATTTGCCTGAACTTCGCCTTTGCTTCCTCTTCTTCCATCCTACCATGCCGGTCAATATATTCAACCACTTCGCCACCTGAGGCGTATTCCATAACCATGTAAAAAGTTGTCTCCGTTTCGACCACTTGAAATAATTTCACTATGTTCGGATGGTCTAACATTTTCATTATTCTTGCCTCTCTATATAATTTCCTTAGCGAATCAGGCGTTAGTGTAGTCTTATCGATGATTTTAATCGCAACCTTCTTACCGGTGGGTTCGTGAATAGCCAGTTTAACTTTCGCGAAGCTTCCTGTGCCAATGGTCTCGAGTAATCTGTATTTATCAATTGGATCCTTCTTCTGTATCGAGATGTCACTTGTAGATGCTGAGTCGCTCTTAGTCGATTCGACTGCACTGTTATTTCTCCAAATTGAACGAAAGTGCCTCAACACGCTCCAAGTTCTCTTCATTTCGGGATTCAATTATAACTGTACGACGTTATTTTGTACAAGAATCTTCTCTTCACTATGGACCAAATATTTTCTGCTTATACACAAACAATAATTTCATTCACACAACTGGTTGATTATATAATGAATGATAAACACTACTTCACTACTGGTAGGTACGCTGTAGCACGAGATTGAATCTGAACTAAATCTAATCATACGACCAACTACCTGCACAGGTATCTGGAACTAGGTAGTAGATACTACATGATCAGTTACCTGTAAATGGGTGGTATATCACTACCTGATCAGGTAGTAAATTCTGAAGAATTACAATTGAAAATCTCATTTCTGAAAATTTTCGCATAAATTACTGGAATACAATCTACTGTCTAATGATTGGAAACTTGCTCAAATTGAATTACACAAATTCACTAATTATTGGCTAGTAAAATGATGGACAAAGCACATACAAGAGTTTCTGAATATCCGACGAATTTTTCAAACTTTGAAAAGATTAGTTTTTGATGTATATAGTTCGAGTGCGAAGTCAGTTGACGGACAACTGTTCACACTTGAAATCACACTTGAAATCTGACCCAAGTTTAGATAAGCCCTGCGACAACATTTTGAGTTGAAAATATCACGCTAATGCAGGCCTTCTTAAACTATGGGTCGTGGCCCCAAATGGGGTCCAGTAGCAAAATTGTAAGGTCACGAGAGATTGCAATGTCAAATATCCGCTCATGTTCAAATCTCTGTAAGGGTACGGATTTCAACTACACAACTTTATTATTACATGCAGAATTCGAGTCTGAAAATTTTAGTCCAGAACTAGAGTCCGATTTTAGAACAAAAGGGAAAAATGAAAAGNTTATTTGGCCAGAGAAAGTCATACATTCAGTTGTTCTAAATCGAGAACAACCATACCGATCAGTTATTCGTTTCATACCTTATACAACAATATTAGGCAAGTTTTATTGGACGTTTGCAAAATCCAGGCAATTTTTGGTGAATCAGTCTTATAATCCGATTATGTCCATCATTAAGGAAAATGTATTCAACTGACCATTTGCGTTCTCAAAATTCACTTAAATTAAATAAATAAAACGATATTTTTGCTAAAAACGAGCCCAAAAGAACGAGGTAAAATACTGTAGCAATTTTTTTTGTAAGCAAGAGACCGAAAGAAACTAAAAGTTCTTTCAGTAGAGAACAAGAGCTCACTACTAATTGTGTACCTGCAGATGCTTGTGAAATTTTTCAAAATATAACCACTATAACTGTAATTCCAAAATAGTAGGTACTAAATTCTCAGAAATGACATTGTTGTCCTAATCCGTCTGTTGCAGTGGCGTACTTTTACAAAATGCTTAAACATGTAGCTAAAAGCCTAGGCACGGAATTCATATGGATAAAACTTCAACATACTTGTTTGTCTATTAAACGGCAGTGATGAAATCCATGAATCACGAAAATGTCATCCGACATACATTATAAGAATCTCTCTTCACTGAATTTCTTGGTTTCATTTCATTTCTAAAAGACATGCTTCTATTTTGAAAACTTTTCTTGTTAAGCATTTGGAAAATACTTGAATCGATTTCATAACAATTTTAAATGCGTACTTTTTGAAGGGGACGTATTTGTCTGAAAGTACGATACCACAATTCAGACAAACGACTATAATATCGAAAAAAAAACAAACTCCAGCATAACTGATTCTCAAATATTGTTTTCTAAAATTGAAATACCTCACTTTTATATGACATTGCGCGAGGCGAAAAACAACAATCACGAATATCTCTAAGATACACAACCTTATTTTCAACGTGCACAGGTAAACGAAAGCCATCATTGAATACATTATTTTATTCAAAATTACAACAAAGCTAAACAAAATTATTTCATGAGACATGACATATCTGCTATTCAGTATCTGTCCCTTCCCATTCTATCCCTGCTATGGTGAGTTCGGCTTGAAAGCTCATTTCCTTCATTGGGAGGGGGCTTCAAACTACGAGGAAAGATATCTTCACGCTCGCAATCCGTATCGGATGGAGAGAAACTTTTCAGACTTTCAGGTGATTGGGATCTCGGTTTATCGTAGGACAAGTTTTTATCCCTGTCTTGATGGATATCCTTGGAATAATCATTTTCTTCTGTGGAAAATCTTCCTGAAGTTTGAGGAGTATTGCCCTCACAAGTGCGACGCTCTTTGGGTGAAGGAGACATTTCTGGAGAAGGTAAACAAAGATACCCCTTTCTCGAAAACATGCTTTTATCGCCGTAACAGTTTCCAGGGTAAGAAATATCCTTCTCCATTTTAGGAGTAAGTCTAGAACTTCGTAGATGACCGTCTGAATGTTCGCGAGGTGATCTTGGACATCTTCTGAAAGTAGGTGACCGAGCAGGTCTTTTATCCCCTCCATATGAAATGCGGTCCGTCTCGTAACAGTTTCCGGGGTTAAAAAAAT